TCTCTGTTTGTTTCTAATCTGTTTTGAACACCACAAATTTGAGTGATTTCTCTAAAAACACAAGTCCATTCCGTGTGTTCTCTGATAAATGGATTCTATTATGTATAATTATCCTGAGAGAATAATAGGAAGATGCTGGAAAGAACATCAGAACATATTATAATAACCAGCTTTGAAGTAAAACATATAATCAGTAATTATACTTTCTCTAAAATTAAACAACAAAAACCACCAGTTATTGGACTGCAAATAAAACACGTCAATTAGCCAATAAATTATTAATAAATGCAGTTTTCAGCTTTCTATTTTTGCTAAACTGTGCATTAGAGTACATGGCATTTAATATTGCATTGCACATTCACAGCAAATTTTACATTAATTATATTATTACTTCCTATTAATGTATATTATTTATATTAAAAAATATATAAAAAATGCAAAATTGCCAAGAAGGAAACTGGATGACACTTGAATGTAGGCAGTATACAGCATATATCAATAAGCCAGTACTGAATTATGCACATAGCCATCAATATTTTTATATCACTGCTAGTTGATAAACAGGAACCCAAGGTTCTGGATCATTACTTGAAGAAACCAGGATCCAGCGCTGAGCATCTCCAGCTCATCCCAGGTGAACATGGCCGCCGGCGCGTCCGTCCGGTTGGGGAACACCTCATGCACATTGGTCGTCCTCCTCAGGGTGCTGTCATGCATCAGGAACGGGACGCCATCATAACTGCAGAGAGAGAAATATAGTGTGAATATTTAAGCACTCTCAAACAGTTTCTGCATCCTATAAAATTCAGTTCAGTTTGATTTGTACTTCTAAAAAAATGAAAAATGATTAAGTATTTAATTATAAACAAACAAAATGAAGAAACAAATACAACTTAAAGTACGTTTTTGTATTTGATTATTTTTGCACTATTTATATGCAATTATGGTTTTCAGTTTTCATTTTTTATGTGCTATTTATATTTCTTTATTTCCATTTCAGTTTTAGTAATTTTAGTACTTTAAGATCAACTCCTTTAATTTCAGTTTGTTGCCAAGGTTTGAAAAATTAGTTTGATTTTTACTTCCAAAATATATAAAAATATTTTAGTATTTATTAAAAACAAAGCAAACAAGTAAACATTTTTGTATTGTTTATATACAATTGTATTAACATTTTGAATTTATTCATTACGTGCTTGTCATTTTATTTAATATTTATATTCATCTTTATTTTTTATTTCAGTTTTAGTAATTTTAGTACTTTAATTTAAGCGTCTTCCAAAATATGAAAACATTTTTGATTTTATTTTGTATTTTCAGTTTTCGTTTGTGCTTTTGTCATTTTATGAATATTTTGACTATTTCTATTCATCTTTATTTCAGTTTCACTTTTAGTAATTTTAGTACTTTTAAGTTCTACTTATTTTATTTAGTTGCCAAGGCAACATGTCTCATTTTCAAGTTGTTCATCTAATATTTATATTTCAGCTTTATTTCAATTAACAAAAAAGATCATTTTAGTTTATTTTTTGTTAACAATAACAGCACTGATTTGTCTAATCATGGGAAGTATTTTGTGGGCCTTATAAATGTAATTCTCTGTATTTGTTCCGCTAATACTGTATATAAAAAAGGTCTAAAAAGTTTTCCTATTTTACCCTTACACAGAAACGTGTACGTTTTGTTATATTTCATTTAGGTCAACGCATGCAGGAAAATATTCACCCGATTCAACTAATAACCTACATCTGTCACTTTCCCAATGAAAAGTTGGTCAAACACATAAAATGAGGTGTTCGCTAATTCTGCCAGATTAACCCAGTTTCAGTCCACACCTGACACGGATCTATAATTGTGAACGGGGTCAGATGTTGTTATATCACAAATAATCCATGATTGGGTCAGCAGGTCTCATTCACAAAACGCCAAGCACTTTCTGTAAAACCATTCTTGAGTAAATAGCTGCTTTTTTGTTGTTGTTGATTCTCTTGAAACTGGCTGCACAAAATGCATTGGTTTTGTGTAGTGAACACTAAAGATGATGCTGCAGATCCAGCAGGGCTTTCCTGAGAACATGCGCTGATAACAGTGTAGAGTCATCAAACCTGTGTAATACAGGCTGCAAATAGATGGATCTTCAATCCATGCTTCCTAGGGAGCTCCCCGCAGCTCATGCAATCATCTTAACCTGAGAGCAGTGACTCATCAAGGAGCCGTTAGCAGCAGACCTTTGTCCAGAGGAAATGACCTGCTGAATGAGCGGCCCATTGACGGTTTGACGGTGCATTTGAAGCGGAAGATCACAGAAATCCACTCATTCGCAGAGAATGAGAATTCAGGCCGGGGACTTTGTGTACCTTCAACATTAGCTCTGCTGTCTACATAGGCAGCTTTATTTCTTTCAACAATTCTTTCAAATATCATTTTAGTTTGAGTTAATTATAATATCACTGATTCCAAGTTTTAAGTTAGTTGTGAAGATAACATTATGATACTCTAGTAAGCATAACATTTTTTTATATATTTTGTTTTTAACCATTTGTACCGATTGGCAGTATCAAATCAACTGTAATTGAATTTCAAATCTAAGTATATTTAGAATTGGCATTTCTCTCACTATTGTAAATACATTTGGATTGTTTCTTGCAATGTATTCTGGGATTGCATTTCTGTGAAGCATGCTGCCTTAGAAATGGACCAAAATGAGGTCTCTTATAATATATTATATATATTTGCAGTATACATAAAAGTGCTTATTACTTATACATTTATGCATTTGGCAGATGCTTTTCTCCAAAGCGATATACACTGCATTTAAGGTATACATTTCATCAGCTGCATTCACAGAGAAACAAACCCAATGGTCTACCCAATGGAGCTACAGAAATGCCTTTACTGTGACTATGAAAGAAGCATGTTTCAGTACTTTAAAATGCTTTTATGCAGTACAGTAAGTAGGAATGGATGAAGATGCCCACCTGATTGTGACGTCTGTCTCCAGTCCCTCTCCTCCCGCTTCTACAGCCTTCTCAAAGGACATCTGGGTATTTTCTGGTGCAAGCTGTTTGAAATGAAACAACATCAAACCTGCTGACAACCATTTTGAGTCTTTACCCTTGTAATCGTATTTAAATGTTTATTATTTCCATTAAAGGTCAAACACAAGATGCAAAAAAAATGAATTCAAGCTAGAAGGAAACAAAGTCCAGTTTAGTTTTGAAAGTGAAGTCAAACAGACACTGATTTTAAAGGGCATGCTGACATAAGCCCACATACAATCCATGTGTGTTCAATTAATATTGCACAAATATCATGAGGTAAAAATAGCAGACCATGGGTGCTCCTCTGTGCCCGATGAGGGTGGGCGCCGGCCCCAGTGTGCCCTTCTCTTTGATGCAGGGCGAATACATGCCCAATGGCACCAGATACAGGGCGAAGAGAACCGCCAGGAACAAGCTGAGGAGAGCCACCTGCCTCACTGAAACACACACACACACACACAATACTCAATGAATGTGTGTAAAACCTTAATTAATAAAAGTGTAAAACACATCCAACCATCATAAAAACACATTGCACCTTTATAATTTAGCACATAGGAACGTTAAATGGAAATAGAACATTAGGCAACTATTTCATCAGCTGGTTTTCTTCATTTTAGGAGGGAGACTGTCGTAGCTAGTGGGACTGTTTTGTACACTAATTAGGGAAGGTCTCAATATTGCTGGTGACAATTTTGGAGTCAGTCTAGTGCCACCAACAGTTTAAAGTTTCATATACATTTTAGCTCACATCTTCAACTGAATTCATCTGGACATCAGATTTTCTGTCCAAAAAAGCTAAAAAAAAATTAAAACTTGTACTATAGCTTTTACCAAATCTTCCTCAAATCTGAGTTTTCAAATGCTTTGATGTCAAACAGTTGTACTTGGTCAAAAAGTTATAAATAAATTATAAATACAATCGCTAAATGAATAAAAATGTAAATGCAAATAATTGTAAATCTAATCAATTTTATTTATTTAATTAATTTTTTATTAATTATTTAATTAATTAATTTAAATAACCACCAGTAGTGTGTCATTTGTGTGCTTGGCCATGTTACTGCATTATTTATAGCTTTATTTATACATTTACTAAAACTAAAACTGAAATAAAAATCAAATAAAGCTAAATAAAAAAAACATAAGCTAATAAAAGTTACAAAAGCACATAAAATAACTAAAACCTAAACTAAAATTAAAAATGAAACCTGAAAAAAGAAGAAAATATGTATTTATTTTAATTTCAAAGGACCATTAGGAGTGTGTGCCATTGGCATGCTTGGCCATATTACTGCATTATTTATATATTTATTTATATATTTATTAGAACTAAAAATGAAATAAAAATCAAGCTAAACAGAAACAAACAATAAAACTAAATAGAAAAAAAACAAAAGCTAATAAAATTTCAAAAGCACATAAAATACTAAAACTTAAACGAATTAAAATGAAAACTGAAAAATAAATTAATTAATGAAAAAAAAGGTTTATTTTAAACTATTTAAAATGACCATCAGGAGTGCCTTGTGTCTTTATATCTCTATATAGAGAGTCTCTATATCTATATATATATATATATAT